ACAAAAAGAATTAAAGTAAACTTTAGCATTTAAAAGTGAACTTTTATTAAGATAAGGGAAAATGCGGAATACAATGGAATGGAAGTAATAAAAAAAACAATCATAGTAAGGAAGGAAAAGAAAGAAGAGTCTAGGCAGCGGCGTCCTCGTCCTCGGCGTCATCGTCTTCTTCGTCGTCCTCGACGTCCATGGGATCCCCGTCGACCGCATCCTCAAAGTCGGCTTCGTCGGGGGAGGAGGACGGAGCATAGGAGTTATCCTCCTCGTCCTCGCCTTCATAGTTTTGGCCGAGGAAGGTGCTGTCAAAGGGCGGCGGGACGTAGTTGATGCCGCGGAAGAACGCCCTCATGTCGTGGTGTTGGCGTTGCAGCGTGCTATCCATCCGCTCCAAGTATTGGCCCATGCCGTCCACGGTGATGGTTAGCCGATTCAGGGTATCGGCTATGGACTGTAAGGAGGCCTTGGCGGGAGCGGGGGCTGGAGCCCGACTTGGTCCTGCGCCGTCTTGGTCTCCGGACTTCTTCCGGAAGGTGCTATCTTGGATGATCCAAATCTTCGTCATCTTCGTGCTTGGCCCGGCGATGTGGATGTCGGCAGAGATGATGAGGTCCATGACGAGGAAGGCGTATGGCAAGCTCCTTTCGGTGGCGATTGAGGCGCAATCCGCCATGTGGATCACGACGTATTTCGCCCAATTGATCGAGGCGCCATGGGTGATTGCATGAACGGCCTTGAGATCCTCGTTGAAGAGACACGTGTGGCTGCCGTCCCGGGGGCGAAGAATCCGGGTGAGGATGTAGAGTAGAAGGCGCTTCTTCGGCGGGGCTGAGTGAATGGTTGGTGCGCCGCTGTGACGGACGAGGTTGGTGATTCCAAGCTCTCGGATGACCACTGCCTCGTTGTTGAGGATCCAATCATCGCCGCCATATGTTGCGATGTCGTCACCGCGGGTGGGCAGCCCTGCGACCCGGGCAAAGGTAGCCAAATCAAACTCGAAGTCCACGAGATTGATGCTGCTGCGAATAGTGTCCCCGTCCCGGCAGAGATTGGAGTAGAAAGCCCGAACGTAGGCGGG